TTGTTGCATCCCGGCCGTTGCACCCTTGTACTATCACCAGTGTTCAAAAGTATGTAGTCAAAATCATCAATTAATTTTGAAATTTGTATTCCAGTAGAGTTATTTTTGTGTGAACCCCACAAGGTACTATGTGCATTGAAATCACCTCCGACTATAAATGGAGGTAAAATTTGAGAGCTAATGTTGCTCCAATCACTAAAGGAGGTATTCACATTAGGTGGTTTGTACACTGATAAAAAGGTTACTTTTTTGTCACCAACTAAAATTGTGGCACCGCAGATATTAATGCCTGTATTAAAATTCTGGTCTAAAGTTATGATACGGTACGCTAGGTTTTTTTTAATTAATATAGCTACACCCGCTTTACCATCTGCTCTATCCTTCCTTATAATATGGTACTCCTTAAAACTTACATTGTGGCCTGGCTTGAGCCTTCTTAAATTGGTAATATTTTTATTTTAACAATGTTTATTCAACTTTCAGACACTCTCTCAGTTAATTAACATATTAAAAAAACTATTTATACAACTTATTTCCCTAACAAACGTTCTATCACGTCTACAGACGCTTTTGAAATTGAGTCGATCCCCACCCACATAACAGTGAAAGAACATTCATATTCTTCCTCAAAGCGCTTTCTGGCATGTTCTTTTAGGAATGTTTAATGAATGTTCGAAATCTTGTTTCGATTGAAATATTCATTTTTGAACGTTCTATTTATGTACAAGGAATGTTGCTTCTATGCACCTACCTGAAAGATTGTGCTGAGAACCTACTTTATATAATATTATTTGAATATTGTCATACGAACATTATGATAATGTACCCTAAAAAATGTTCTTTCGGCTAATATCTCTATCAAGTATTAAGAATATATACAGGGGCGTGCCGAGTTTCTTGGGGGCCCTCCCGCGAGATTTTCCTTAGGGGCCCCGAACAGTTTCGGTAAAAATAAGAGTAAACAAAAAAATATCATAATAGTTATTTATGATATAGATTCTAAAAAGTGACATTTTATTTTATGAAAAGGAAAAGGGAAGTTCGCATAGGACACGACACGACGCCCGTGTTCCATCCCTTTGAACATAATAAAATGTCACTTTTAGCACGAATATCATACACTATTTTTTTTACAAACGCACTAAAAGTGATTACTTTTAGCATTCAGTGCTAAAAGTAATCACTTTTAACACAAGTATCATAAAATGGCATTTTAGACACTGACAGCATCTGTTAAAAATGACACTTTTAGTGACGTTTGTAGATTTTTTTTTTAATTCAAGATGAACATGAAATAAAAAATAAGTACTACTCTGGTAAAAAAAAACAGATATAAAAACTATGAAAAAAATTGTGAAAATAAAAAAATAATAACCAAACTCTGGTTCAAGAAAAACTAAAACTGAGAAATAATAGAGAAAAGTGTACTAAAACTATGTTTTCTGCGATTGACAAAAAATGTCAGCATTTTTGACCGGTTGACAGGTCGCCAAACCCAATATTCTGGTATTTCAATTATGTTTCAATAGTTGCTAAGGAATCAATGAATAACAATATGGGAATCACTTTTCCGGCCTAGGCCGGGAAAATCATTCTCGTACTGCTGAACAAATGGAAAAAAAGACAAACATTTAACAGATATTTAACCGATCACAGAAAAAATAGTATGTGTATTCTGGTGGAAAAGCACATTCTCGGCCGACGGTGTAAGTTAACAGGCGAGGCGTAGCCGACGCCGGCAATCATGAATGTGTCACTGTCATCACAGTCATGAACGTGTCACTTTTCTACCCAAATACACAATATACTATTCTCTAATTACTTTGGTCTATGGTGGTAGAGACTAGATTTTGTGTCGACTAGATAAATAATGATCAACTAGTTCAACAATATTCACAACATCACGTCTAGTTTTTAATTAGGTAACGGCCCAATTAAGGACCGATTGAGGTTGGCAACTAGAATAGCTATTCTCGCAATTGTGGCGAATGCCTTTGCGAGTCGATTTGCTCTAATTTAATACTGGTTTATACGGTTGTTAGTAGCAATTTTTAGTGTGCCGATCAGAAAATAGATGGAGACTCTGTCTTCATCTTACTTGTATCACGTCTAGTGTTGCCGGTGTGAGCAAAATTATGGTGCGTTGGAGTCTGAGGTGGAGTAAAAATTAAACGATTTTATATAAAGGATATAAAGTTCAATCTTTTCCAATGCATCCGATGGTTGCAAAAAGTAAGAAATCTTCGATTTTTTTGAAGATTTTCTTTAACTGACACTCGAACTAACATACGTGGAAAAATATTTTGTGTGAGAAGAATATACCTTGTTTGATTTGGGGGCCCCAAATATCCCGGGGCCCTCCCGCACCACGGGCCCTGCGGGCCCGTCAGGCACGCCATTGAATATATACCTACCAAGTTGAGCTGAGAAGTTTATGTAGGAAGGTAACCATGATAAGAATATTTTCATATTGTTCACCTAATTATCTAAAATACCTACTCAAAAATCTTAATTGAACAATTAAACAATAATGCTCTATCTAGAACCTAGTAAGAATACAGGGTGTCCCAGCCGAGAGTGACCCATTTTAAATGCTTATAACTTTTGAACCAGGTGAGCTAGCTACCTGAGGTTTGTGCCATTCGATTTCTCTTAGTCTAAAGTTTTTTCTAGTAGGTTTCAAATTTTTTTAAAAACTTATACAGGGCGAGTAAGAAAAAATCCGTTTTTCAACACCGAAATTCTCCACTATTTTCAATGGAACGCCCTGTATATCGCAACGTCAAAAAATAGATTCATGTTTAAGGTATCCATGTACCAATAGACATCGTCCCTAAAACTTGAAGTTTTAGCCGTAAAAAATCAAACTCGAAATATTGGTATTTTTGCAAACAGCTATTTTCAAAGCTTCAACCTTATGTTTGCCTAATAAAAAGTTAATAACAACTGCATAAAACTGTAGGTACCTATATGTATATGTTAGCCATTCTGTTCCAGGCATTTGTGGATCAATAAATGGTTGAATGAATTGTGTAACATTTCCTGGAGAATCGCTTCAATGACATTACAAATGTTCCACTTAAGATCTTTCAGGCTATTTTAACAAAGTATTGCCGCATCTTTCCTTGACATAACGCCAGAGAAAAGTGTCTAGAACTCTCGTCTAAGAGTAAGGTGTCCATTCTATAGGCCAGCGGCCAGCTCTCCTTATCCGTCTTTCCCCAAATGTCATATCTAGTGATTCCCTTGCTATTAATGAATAACCAGGTGGGGGCATCATCCTGCTGAAAATAGATATCATTCAAGATAACCTCCTGTCTCAACTATGGGAAAAAGAACATATCAGTGTATACAGTTTCTGTTATTGTTGGTTCATCAATGAAAATGGTCTGTATTTTTTCTCAATAGAGATTGCACACCAAATTCTTACTGTTGGGGTATCTCTATTTAATGAGTTCCAGAAAAAATACTTTGGAACTCGTTAAATCTTGGAAAATGTATCTCAACTTGATTGATATCTAACTAGACAGTTACAAAATCATTTGCCATAGTGATATCAAGTTCCTACAACATGAAGTTGCATGCGTTTGCAAAAATACCAAGATTTCGATTTTGATTTTTTTTCGGCTAAAACTTCAAGTTTTAGGGACGATGTCTATTGCTACATGGAAACCTTAAACATTAATCTTTTTTTGACGTTGTGATATACAGGGTGTTCCATTAGAAATAGTGGAGAATTTCGATGTTGAAAAACGGATTTTTTTTTACTCGCACTGTTTAAGTTTCAAAAAAATTTGAAACCTACTGGAAAAAACTTTAGACCAAGAGAAATCGAATGGCACAAACCGCAGGTAGCTAGCTCACCTGGTTTAAAAGTTATAAGCATTTAAAATGGGTCACTCTCGGCTGGGACACCCTGTATTATAGGTACCTATATTCTTTTTCTTTTGCTTTGTAGGACTTCCAAGAGAGGGAGCCACACGCTATTAAAGATATACATCTTGTCTTACGTTTGAATCACCTTGGAACCTGTTTCTCTCAGGGAAGTTTTCCAACAACTCTTTCACTGCCTTTAATATAAAACGGCTGAAAGGAGCATTATTTGGAAGCGAACATTAACATTCCAAGTATATCCTTCCTTAGGATCAAACAAGAATGATATGTCTAGGATGCATATTGAGAATGATATATGTAGATATATTCTAAGAATATTTCAAGCATATTGGTATAATATTATTTTGAGAACATAACTATAATGTCATAGAAACATTCTTTGAATGTGAGAATTTGCATTCCGAGCATATTTTTAGAATCAAACAGGAAAATTCTTTTCAGGATGTACTCAGAATCTCATAGGTATATTCTAGAAATATCCTAATGGATTTCCCAGGAAGTTCTTGGGTACTGCAAACAGTATTTCTACAATCTTTTTTCAGAACATTCTCAGGACATTCGCAATGGTTTTGGCGAACATTCTAGGAACATTCCTCCCAAAAAAAGAACATTCTTATTACATTCTAAGGATGCAATTTTGTTATGTGGGCATAAGACATCAATGTATTAATTTTTGAACTAGGAACCCGCGCCAATTTGCGATTCTAACCTAACTAATATGGTGAATTTGTTGCGGAAAAAAATACCATCATTTTTAACTAAATATCGATATCAACTAAGTACCCTAAAATGCTCAAAAAGGGGCGTGGCACTAAAAAAAATAAGCCTACGGCGGTTGCCTGCGGCGCTAATGGAAATGGTCTTATTATAATACTGCCCCCCCTGAGAAACCTCGTAACGACGCCCATGCCTCCCTCGTATCTGTCCTATATCCTAATACATTCCTCATCAATTTGGGACACACTGTATATAAATAGTAATTCACCAATAAGCTACTTTTTTATATTGTTTTCGATTACCACAAGTAGGTGCCCGAACTTTGACACTACCTACCTCTACATTCTGTTTTAACCCATAAAACCTAAATACACCTATGTGTTGCTTACCCCAGATTCATCTAAAATAAGAACCCAAGGATGATCTAAGCACAGTTGCATTTTTTGAGACCAAATCCCATTAGTTTGCTCCATTTGCCTCAACCTCCTCATTCCATCGATGGGATAAAGAATACCCATTTCTTGGGACACACTAAATGTAGCCAAATGCTCTATGATATGAATTGGTGCTTTATCGTCATCCCGTAAGTCCCTATCCCTATCTCTGTCCAGGTCTCTGTCGTCTCTTGAGTATCCATTTCGATACGCCATGGTTGGTTCTGGGTTTGCTAAAAAAAAACAGGTTTTGTAAGGATAAACTTGCCACAAGAGATCTAAAAATGTACTAATGATTCATGCGCAAAAAAGATTAGATTAATACAATAATTATTATCTTTTGATACTTTTAATCAGATAATAATGTTTCTACAATACCTAGATAGGATAGGAATAGGTATGAAATGATAAAACTGCCACACAAATTATTACTTATAGGTATCGCATGTTGAGCGCCTACTTGGGCGTATTCACTATTTCATTTCATAAAAAATTGATTAAATAAATCTGATATAGTTACCAATTTCAGGCCCTCAGAACCTGATTTAACAAGCCAAAAAAATTTCTGATAGCAATACGGCTTCAATAAAAATATTTGTTTGTGCCACATTTCATTTAATCTCACATTTTGCATTTTGAATAAATGTATTTTCATAGGATTTCGGTATTTTCAGGTATCTTGCAGAAGCGGTCCCAACCTGATGATATTTCTAGATGAGACAGATATTTGATTTTCAGATTCTACTTCAAATTCGACAAATCTATATAAAATGGATAATTCTTATCTCTTGCCGTTTTCGAGACAAAGGTTGTTTATTTTCAGCATAAATACGTGCTATAACGTATAACGCGAATTTAAATAGAGGATGTTCCCGTTTTTTGAAGCAGGACTCAGGACGCAGGACTTTGACGGTTTGTGGGAAAAGCTAATTTCTATACAAAAAGTTCATATATTTAACACATATGTGATACAATACACAGGATATAGATTTGTCTTAAAATTCAACTTAGAATCTGAATACCATTTAGAAATTGCACGTTGGGTGCTGTGGACGGCTCGGGATCCTTGAATTCGGCCAGAAAATTTACCTGTTCCGAAATAAGGAAAAGGGTCACATTTTTACAATACTTGAACTCGGCCAAATCGGTTATCAGGACTGCATTGGTTCTCCTGGACTATTCGAAAGCCTTCGATCGTCTCAACCATAATCTTCTCTTGGGCATACTTCTCTATCTGGGATTTGACAATGCTTCGAGAGTTCTTATTGGGTCATACCTTCCTGGACGAAACCAAATCGTCAGGCTTAATGGCAAGATATCGCGGCCTGTGGAGATGACTTGTGGTGTACCTCAGGGTTCTATCCTTGGGCCACTATTTTTCTCCCTCTATACATCGCAGCTTATCACATGTCTGCGATACTCGACTGTACACTACTATGCTGACGAAACACAGCTTTATCTCTCATTCAAGCCTGATCAAATAATGATAGCCAACGACAGACTGACGCACGATCTGAATGCGCTTAAGAGGGGCCTCAGAAGCGCACTGCCTAGAAATAAATTCCAATAAGTCGCAAGGTTCTGCTGTTTGGCCGGACCCGGACCCGTGAACAAAGCCTGAATCTTTTAAAAATTAGACTTGGCAACCTGGTTTTAAGTGCATGTGGTACGGCAAAAAATCTGGGTCTACTCATAGACACTGATCTAAGATTCTCGGGGCATATTAATAACTGTGTCAAGAGGGCTTTTGCCAACCTCAAACTGATATTTAACCAACGAGCCCTGCTTAATGAGAATCTTAGGAAAGTGTTATGCGACTCCATTGTCTTATCTCACTTTAACTACTGCGATGTACTGTACGGTCCCTGTCTGCTGGTTTCCGATGCCAGAAGAATTCAGCTCATGCAGAATGCGTGTGTCAGGTTGATAGGTGGTATTAGGGGCCGTGAGAGAGGTGTGAGTGCCAAGTTCTGCGAAATTAAATGGCTAAGAATGAATGAAAGACGCGCACTACATAGTTTCGTTCTGTTTAACAAATTGATTTGCAAAAGATGTCCTGACTATCTGTATGATAAAATTAAGTTTCGGTATGATACCCATAACTTGGAGCTTAGACACAAATTTACAGTAACTCCTCCCATGCATGCTACATCCGTGTATGAGAGATCATTCAGCTACCAAATATCGAAAATGTACAATAAAATTCCTGCTGATTACAAAACAACCTCTGCGTATAATTTTAAGCAATTTGTTAGAAAAAATATTAAAATTTTTGTCTGAGCTCGTACCATCACCCCCATTGTCTCTCTGGCCTGTATAATGTGTTTAACTCGGTGTTTAACATTTCCCTTAGGTATACTTTATACTTTGTATCTTTTTCTATATTCTTTATATTTGTGTATTCGTATATTTTTTTTTTCATACTAGCACCCGTGCTAGGTACTAGTCGCGATAGACTTATGATTGAAAGTAATACTCTGTATTTCGTTCTATAATGTTTGCACTATTGTACTCTGGTTGAGATAGGAAGCTGTGCTTCAACTCCGCCATTTGTAATTCTAAAATGTTTGTTAAATATTATATATCTGGATCTTGTGAATTGATGAATTGCAATAAAGCCATTTATTATTATTATTATTATTATTATTATAGGTATTTCACTGAGATAGGTATTTTTTTTGCATCAATATGCAAATCGGTACAGGTACTGAGATAGATATTATTTAACTTATTTACTTCTTATAAATAGCTAAAATCTCCAAATTTGAATTAGTTTCTGATTTGATCTCGTTGCGTTCTTTGCGAATATTAGAAAAATGTCAGAGTCAGAAGATTTTAGAGAAATTTTAAGTGAGCGAGGTGTTAGCCTGTTGGTTCATCGGAACTATAAATATTGTTTCGGAAACACAAAAAAGTAAAATTAAAAACTTCTAGAAAATTTAAGAAATTGAAATCGAAAAGAAAGCAGCAGCTTTTATTTACGAAACTTGAGCAATATAGAAGCTTGTAACGGCTGTCACTTGGGTATATGCTAATCAGGTATAATTCAAGTTTCTTTGAAATTAATAAAAATGTAGGTAGGTACTTAATATTTTACGTTTAATATGCAATATTTGTGTATAATAAGGTAATATATTTATATATGTATTATTTTGTAGTTTATGTTAATAAAATTGTGAATATAATGTAACTACTAGTTTTTGTTTGTTTACTATCAACCATAAGGTAAGTTTTATATGGACAGTGGGTTGGTATATATAGTTTGGCCGAATTCAAGGGTAGGATTAGTACAGCTACCTGGTTCCTGGCCGAATTCAAATATGCCCGGATGGCTTCTGGAACACCCCTGAATACCCAGGTACATATGCAATGCATGCAAATGATGCCATGCAGGTATTAGACGCGTTTAGTTTCTGGGTAACTGTCTCAAATCTTCTGAGTCTTTTGCCTATTTTCTATAAGACTTTGATATGAAATATTTGATAATTTAAGGTCTTCGCTTTACTGTGTGAATAAAACGTCTACGCATTTTATTATAGCAGCGTTTATAACTTTATTGCAAGGTAAATAATTGAATAACGTATTTACTTTGCAAATGTGTAGATTATGAGATATGAAATTATATAAAATCGTACAAGATATAAAATCTTTAATCTAAGTTAAATTTGAAATTGAATTTCGATGAAAATTGGCTAGATTGAGTTCAATTTGTCACAAATTTCATAAAAATAAAACTGAAATTCTCAAAAATTTTCCAGGCGAGATAAGGTAGGTAGGTACAGATGTCAATAATTTCAAAATTGAACACATTAACCATTTTGTCTGTTATTGTAAAGAAAGGAAAACTTGGTCATGTGTTTGTGTTATTCCAAAGTATTATTAATAGGTAGTCAGCCATCAAAAATCCATAAGAGCTAATCAAATTAATATAATGGGAATCATTATATTTCAATTACTAAGTAAAAGTACCCATCATCAACGTTGTAGCTAAGCCTACCAAACCCAACCTTACTAGAATCAGCTGCAACGTAAAAATTTGAGATTTTCATGTGGAGGTACTGTGTAAATGTATTTTATACTTCAGTTTACAGGCAGAATTATCTTATTCATTCAGATAAATGGATATACAATACAATTTTAAGATATCTTGTTAATTTTCATAAGTGGCTGCTTCCATATTCAAACCCAATCAATTTTCAATTAGGTATAAGGACGTAGGAGGTTATCTAATTCAGTATTATGGATCTGGCGCAACCCGCTCCTAAACCCTTAGCAATTTTATCAAATACTAGTATCACGAAATGTTTTATTGCTCCACTTATAAGTGAGATAAAATAAGTATGACAAGAAGATTAATTTCAAAAAACATTTTTTTTACATTACCTACAACATTTTGAACAAATATATAATTATGTAGGTATAGCATCCGAATATAGGTACCATTCTTATTTCAAAGACCTAATAAAATCTTTTTGATTTATTGTTTATTGTTTTTTGTTCTCAAATTGTTTATTGATTCTTATTTCTACCATAACCCACAATAATTGGTCCAACCACCCCCTACCAACGTACAAGTTACTGCAACAACGTACAATTCAGACATAAAAAAATCAAAAGATTAGTGATTATAGAAGTGACGATGCCAACAATATACCTACTTCCGAGATTAGATTACTATAAATCTAATTCAGAAATTTTCCTTGTTTACTGTTTTCATCAGGTTTAGTAGGGACATTTTTTCCATATACTCAGGCACTTTTTAAAAATAATAATTATGTACCCCTGTCGCTCAATTCCGAAATTAGGAGCTTTGCCTAAAATTGTGAAAAATATTTAAATATACCTAATCACCGTCCGCATTATTCGATGCCTAATCCTAATGAAAAATAATTACTCATTTTCAATACGTATAATTATAATGGCAGATAATTTTTCTGAATTAATGCAAAAATGATCTCACATAATTAAAATAGGTACTATTATCCAATTATTAAAACTATAGGCAATGTACTCATTGCGCCACACCTTCCACCATATAAGAATGGAATGCAAAGAATGAGGTAAGAATTTATTTAGCATCTACAATCTCCAGAGGTATCTTGAATATTCAAAATTTTCTTGCAATAAGGCATAAAAGGATAGATGTATATAATAGAGAAAGATCTATGTGGATAATATCATGATCATATGATCAATGATCAAACCAAATAAAACTTTCAGGGCATAAATATGAATGCAATAAGTGAGCGATCTATTATAAATGGGACCTAGACTTATCAAATTATAAGTAAACAAAAATATTTTCTATGTAGCCAAGTTCAATTTCACTAAAATCGCGCCCGATTCAGCTGCTTGAGGCTAAATAATAAAATACGGAATAAATATTACTTTGCACTCAATTATTTAAATCAAAAGCCACCGTGGCGAAGAGAACAGACAAAACAACGGCATAGCCCCAACTCTTTGAAAAGGATTTTATGTACAAATTTAACTCACCTGCTAATTTATTTTATTATTCCATAGTACTTGACACTAAATCCGCACGAAAGTATTGGAATTTAAGATCGAATTTCAAAAATATCAATCGAAGCACTGGAATAAAAGCAGTAGTATTGAAAGTTTTGCTGCTTATTTAATCTGACAGGCACAGGTAACAGATTTACCTGTGACTAGGCACATGCGTGGAAAAATGAGAACGTTTACCTGTTGCATTGGTACTACAAAAGCTGTGCTTTGGTGGTACTACCTACAATAGGTAGGTATACCGTGCCCGTTCAATTTATTAAATCATGATTTCTACCACTCTACCAGGTTTCACCGAAAGTAACAAAGTTAGTTTGCAAACTTAATTTTTATTCCACTCTATTCCAAATTGTTAAAATCTTGTAAGTACCTACCTACATATTGTTTACATTGTGTTTTCAATGAACTGTGACAAAGATACCAGTAAAAGCAACCATATACTATGGTAGCTTTGATACGAGTCTCCCAGATTTAATATCGATTTATTGATAAACCCAAATGTTCAATTTCCAAGTTATTCCTTAGCAACATTCATTATTACTTATTGGCAAAATTTTGTGTTCAATTCAAATATTGGCTTTGCTTGCACAGGGGTCGTAATTTCGAATATTTTCGCATACGAAATTCAATACGATTTCGAATGATCCCCATTTAATTTACATTGCTGTCAGTCAAATTTCGTGTTCGAAATGTACTAGAATGAATTCAAAAATACGACCACTGTTACGTAAGCGGGTTTAACTCATTTAACTACAGTAGATGAGCTTATGGCCGTTTGCACCAACCATTTTAAGGGAGGTTTAATGATATTCAACGCTTAAAGTAAAATTTAAACATGTGAAAATGTCATATGGAACGTTGATTATTGTTAAACCTTTCTTTAAATGGTCGGTGCAAACGGCCATTAGTAGTCAAGCTTGATTGAAGATTGACTAATGAGTCACAAAACTGAATCATAACTCAGTGTCTTACTATCGACTCGCGTTCCCCTCAAATTATCTGCTGCCGTACTCTGTAACAATAAAGAGAAGAAATTTCCTTTCCATGATAGAAAATCGACAAAAGGAAACTCCCTAACCCCAATCGGCTAGAGTCGCTACCCCGAACTACCTGCTCGTGTCTAAGGAAATAGAAAGACCCCTTTAGGTCTTGCTATTTTTCTTTTTTATTTTACGCAATCACATTGACGTAAGCTTTTCTTCGTCTTATCTTTTCTTTTTTTTGAAATTTTTTGTTTTCATTAGTGATTAGAGAGTGACATCAATTTGTTTGTTATTGGCGTCTGATGTTGACAGGAATCCATATATAGGAAAATCACGACATGCATTCCCATAATTCGCATTTACATTAAGAATTACTAAGCTTTTGTCACAAATAATTCGAAAAGTTTTTAGTCCTAGCGGTACATGAAGAAAAACGGCAAATTGTGTTAAAAGCATGAATTTTGGTACACTTGGTCTTTGAACCATAACAATTGATTTGGCCCGTAGCACTACCCCACAACTGTCATTTGTTTATATTTATTTAAACAATTCACTCGATCTGTTAAAAAGGCACAAAACAGGCTCACCAGATGCCAATGCCAAATAAAATTTACATTGGAAGTTGATAAAAAGAGCGGAAAGTCATGCTGACCCATGCAAAGGCCAATCCTGACCCAAGTCGCCACTTTGATTAATTGTTTAAACATATTGTTCACTTTTGTTTATGCAAAATTATTGGTTTTTTGGATATTGCATGTGGGGAATCGATTTCGACTAATTAGGGGTCAAAAATCTCGAATAATAACATTAGAACTCGTTTGCAAGGCTTTTTTAATTGTTCTTCTGTATTATAGAAGAAAACATTGAACAAAATTTGGCGCCCAAGTGACAGTGGATGAATAACTGAGGATAAATGAATTAATAAAACCATTAAATAATAGCTATTTATGTAACAAGTTGTAAAATGAGCGTGTTTTTTTTTTTGCACTAAATGTGAAGATTCAACACATTGTGTGCAAAAAACTAGCCATTTTGCGACGTGTCTCATACACGATTTTTTGTGATTTATTCAAAATATTTGAAATTCAAAAAATAAACTCATTTCAACACTGACAAGGAACGCACTCTTAATCCCATTTCAAGACTCAGTGTTGATAAAGAAAGTATTAATCACCTGTTAAAAGATGGATGTGAAACTTTATCGAAAATCATCAGAAAAAAAAACTCAATTTGACGCAAATTTTTTCATATTTTCATTCCATAAGGGCCGCATAATGGCGACTTGGGTCAGGATGGGCCTTTGGATGGATCAGCATGACTTTCCGTCCTTTTTATCAACTTCCAATGTAAATTTTATTTGGCATTGGCATCTGGTGAGCCTATTTTGTGCTTTTTTAACAGATCGAGTGAATTGTTTAAACAAACATAAACAAATGACAGTTGTGGGATAGTGCTACGGGCCAAATCAATTGTTATGGTTTAAATACAAGTATACCAAAATTCATGCTTTTAACACAATTTGCCGTTTTTTACTAAATATCTATATGTACCGCTAGCACTATTTCGAATGATGCCTCATCCCTAATGGGATGTGGAATAGCCGTAGGTGCAGCCAGTGCAGTACCAAGAAACCCAGAGTCTTGTATGAATTGGCTTTTTTCACTTCCTTTTCTGCTTGAATCATGAAAAACTTCATCCAGCCTGGTGAAATATGGTTTCAATCCATACACCTCCGAAAGATCTCAATATGCAAAGGCGAAGGCAAAATGAAAACAATAACATTAACAATCAAAAATTAACTGTCAAAATCACCGGTATTGAAAATCGGAAAAATCTATTACAATGTTTTCAGGTTGGTTAGTACGCATTTCTCTATAAACGAACTTACCCGTAGATTTCAGGAAAAAGTCATAGAGAGAATAAAGACATTTCTTTTCTCCGCTATTACTTTTCTTAATTTTCTATTTCTATTTCTATCGAGTATGAGAGTTCGCCTTCTACCTAATTTATTATCTTATTCGTGTTCAACTAACTGATTGTTGACACATTTTTTTTGTCTAAATAATTCACTTCCGTTCGTCTTTCATTCGCTGGAATATAGCACGGTATAATTCCATTCGCGAATTTCAAAGTCATCCGGTAGTGTGGCAAGATTGTGTACAATTTCCTCAACTTGAGGAGTTATAGCACTGCCTCCTCCCTTAAAGCTGTCCGTTTTGGGACTGCTTTGCCTGACCGCACAAGGCGGTAAATTCTCGCCTTCATCGGACCAGCCTGTCTACGTGTACAAGCTTTGGCTAGGTATTCGGAGAAAGTTGAATCGTGTAAACCATGTCTTTGATATTCTTAAGGATCCTGTATGGCCCTTCACACAGTTTTCGTAATTTTGGGCTCAGTCCCTTCCTTTGCTAACGCTGATACAAACAGACGGCGTCAGCTTTATCAAAGGTATTCAGTGTCTGCCGTGTGTCGAGTCACATGTTTATTCTGTCGCTCGCAGCGTAATCCTTTCTGGCGAATTCCACTGTGAGCCTGTATTTCCAGGTAAACTGGAAGTACAGTTTCATTTTCATCGGCTGGTGTTCTACCAAATATTAGATGTATAAACAGGATAGTTTTTATTTTTCCTCTTCATCCATTATAGTCAATGGCAACAAAACCGTTGAATGCCACACCTGAACAGTCAGGATTTATCCATAGGGCTAATTTCTTGTAAGAATAATTCTTCGAAGGACCACTTGGCCTTTAGCCAAGAAAGAAGTAGAAAGAAAACACTTAGGTACACTTATTCACTAATAGTAATAACTTTAATAATAATAAATTTTGTACAAATTTGGCAATTCACAAAAGGGACAAATGTCAAAAAATCCGTGATTGCAAAGAAAACCACACTCTGCTTGTCTTGTAGAGACCAGAACAAACTTGTCGCTAGAACAGGCACTTGATTGAAGACTTCAAAGAAAAATATATCTAATATAGAAGTCAGAGAACTATAAGAATGTGAGTAAAAGCCTGGAATAATTCTCCAGAGGCTTAACCGAGGGATTAACACTCAGTCAACTGGCAATTTTGTACCACGATTAATTAATTTACTGATTTTGTGCGAGAACCACGAGACTGTGTATTTAGAGTTTTGCAAGCCGCAACAACCCTTCTCGATCACTGAAATGGTACTGCCCGCCCTTACTGGTCTCTGCTTTTCTCTGCTTATCTGAAGATAAAGGTTGCATTATCATGTCAATAGTGTGGTTTTAACACGTTTTAACTTGTACCTTTTGAATACTGCGTAGTTTGGAGAATTTTATAAATTTCTTTATTTTCAGAGAATAATTTTAATTTTAAAAAGGATTTGAAATACGTGATTTCCAAACATTAGATCTACAGAAAGCTTTATTTCTCTTCCTATCAACAACATCGGTGTATATATATAACTTATACCCAGAAGGGAAAGGGGCACCAGTCCACCAGTTTATAGCCGTTTCGCTGGTGCCCATCCACAAACTCGTGAATGGATATTACCCGATTATGGGTACGCCGGTATACGCCGCTGCTCACCAAGAATTCAAATAAATTAAAATTTACCTACTCATTAGAAAAGAGATAAACGAGGGGTATTCTACCAATACAAAAAACCCTGAAAATAACAGAATGTAAAAAAAAATCGAACATTCATCAACGAAGAGGAATATCAAAAATTTGTGAAAGCCAATAAAAAAGATTTAATTTTTGTTTTGTGGAAACCCGGTACTTGAAAATTTTAGTTAAAAAAACTTACTTTTCTTTTTCACCTTGTAGTCAGTAAGAAGCTTCAAAACTGGAAAATTGGACCAAAGCAGCGTGTTTAGACATAAATTATCTTTTAAATTCCGCAAACCGCTCATTGATATCTTTCTTTAGTCTGCGTAATATCGGAATCCAAAGTTAACCTGAAAATTCGCTTGTGCCGTTTCATTTGTCCAGCAGTTTATTTTCATGTACTCCGATCATACTCCGATTTATTCCTTTGTAGCAATCAATGCTTGTAGTCATATGTAATTTTGTATTCCTTTGTATTCTTATGGATTCCTTCGTATTCCTGTGCATTCCTTTGTACTCCATGTATCCAGTGTACACATTTGGCTGGCGGTTCATCCCTCGATTTTTGCTTAATTTAGATTTTGCAAGTTGACTTTCCTTAATTTTCCATTTGGTTGTTTT